GATCCAGAACTCCATCCCCTGGTCCATTCTAAAGGTAGATTGTTGGGATTGAAGGGGGTTTTCAAAATTATGAGCGTAGAAAATGACATTCTCCTCTCAATATCCAAGAAATGAGGTTTCTTCCCAAGAAAAGTTGGAGCAGAAAAGCCCTGCTGGCACCTGAGCACAGCAGGAACACAGAGCTTGAGTGCTGCTCCTTTCCCTGTGCTGTCCCCACAGGATCCTCACCCATTAAAAAATCTTCCCACAACAACAGTTTGAAGAAAAATAAAAACAACAGACGGGTACCCATGGAAAGGGAGTGCAGCACACCTGAGCTGTGCACCCTCTGCAGCCTGAAGAGCAGGACTGCTTCTGCAGCTTTGTGGGGAAGGAATGTGAAGACGTGAGGAAGAGTGAGCCCTGCAGGCAGCTCTTCCCAAATGTCAAGAGAACTTGAGGAGAAAGTGCAAACTCCTTTGAAACTCAGCCAGCAGGAGTGTGAGCCAGCTGGAGGGGGAAGAGGCTCCTTGAAAGCCAAGGGGGGATTGGGAAAGCAAAGCTGAGGAGTTTCTGCTCCACGTGGCCCAGGAGAAGGTGGCGGCAGAGCTGGTGAGGCTGCTGACCCCCAAGGGGACGACAGTTGTCACATTCCCTGATGGAATCACGGGTGGATGCCAGAGGAGTGTCACAACAACAGATGAGAGGCCAGAACGAGCTGTGGCTGTGGGAACAGATGGGAAGGGCTCTGTCTCAGGGATGGCACAGAAAAAGGATCTGTGGAGCTGCCTGAGCCTCTCCCAGGACCCCTCTTGTGTTGAAAAGCTGAGTCCAACCCATTTCTAACAAGTCACTGTGCTCAAGATGAAGTTTAGGTTCAGGCACAGCCACTAACCAATGACTTTGTAAAGCTGACAACACATTCAAGGGCAATCAAATTAATTAAACCAGCCAAGCAGCTCCTTCACTATTATGTTCAACAGCATATGCAAAACCAGTCCTGAAATAGTCTCAGCTTAAAATTCCCTGCTTCCCATCTTGTTTTCAAACACACCTGAACCAGTTGTCTTTTATTGCTGAAAGGAGTGCACAACAGAATGGTATTTCCCCTGCAAAACAACCCAAAGGGATGAAAGCTCTGCTAAAAGTTAATACTTGTCCCAAATTTCAAGAGGTTAGTCATTAATTCTTGTTTTAAATTTGTGTATAAGGATAAATCATGAAGCCAGTCCAAGGTCAGGACTCCGAGCAATAAGATGTCTAGCTGGAATGAGATTATCCCTAATTTACCTTCCAACATAAACTATTCCATGATTCTAAGGTGGACAGTGAAGTTTCTCCACTTTTTGCACTAAATATTCTCCAATATTTGCAGTAAATCCTTAGAAATCTTGGGATGATGAATGTAAATTATATTTATTCTGCACTGAAGGCATTTTCTGCCAAGCCATGTATCAATAATTCACAGAATTACAATGAGCCTGCAAGTAAGTACAGGGAAGATCAGTAAAAAAAAAGGCACTTAACAGTGTAATGAAGGTGACAACTCTGCATTTACTATGCAACAATTAGTCTTTCTAATCTCTGCTGCAAGCATTTATTATTAAAGCAATATGAAGCTCCAGTGACACCGATGTGAAACCAAGTGCCCCAGTGAGGACACTAAAACCCAAGATTGTGTTACCACAGATGGACCAGCGAGGTCAGGGGCAGAATGTGAAATGATTCTTCATTTAGAAATAGGCCTGTGTGCATCAGAATATCAATTTATTGCTTTTTCTTACATCTGGGTAATGTTTGAAGAGGGATTTGGTAGGGAGGAGGATACAGCAGAATTCTCTGCCACAAAACCAGCCCAGCTGAATCTGACTGGGATGTTCAGGGGGCTGTGCTGAATTATTGATGCTGCCTGGTATCACATCACATGGCAGCAGTCAGAGGCACCTTTTGGATATTCTCCTGCCTCACTGGAGAAGAAACAATACCTGAAATCAGAGAGGGGGGCACCCACCACGCTCTGGGGGGCTCAGATGGGCAATGCAGAGCCCTGGGACAGCTCTGTGCTCTTCAAGTGACAGTGACACCTTCCCCTGGTGGGACACAGGGGCTGCAAACCCTTCATGAGCTGCCTAAAGAGTGCTCAGGAGCTTTAAAGGAGAAGTTGTGATACTTCTAAATGGGGAAAATCCTTGAAAGGGGAAAAAAAATTCCCATCCAAGTATCACTATCACATTTTCTGAAAAATCCTCTTTGCCCAGGATTTCTCTCCTGGGAAGCTGACAAGCCTCAGAGGAAAAGGAAAACAATATTTTATCATTTGCTTCTCCTGTGTTTTGCTGCTTTGGAATGCTGTTGGAGATTGTTTATCCAACATGTGAATTGTTTTTACTTAATGACCGATCACAGCCAGCTGTGTCAGGACTCTGGAGAGAGTCACAGGTTTTTCATTACTACCTTGTTAAGCCTTCTGTCAGTATCCTTTCTGTATTCTTTAGTATAGTTTAGTACAGTATTCTTTAATATGATGTAATATCATAAAATAATAAATTAGCCTTCTAAGAACATGGAGTCAGATTCATCATTCCTCCCCACGATGGGGGACCCCAAAAATGCCACATGCCAGCACTGAGGGGAGCAGGGAGAGGATTCTGGAATCCCTTGGAATGCTCTGCCAGCTCTGGGGCTCCCAGCAGCAGCAGGAGCTGCTGGAGAGAGCCTAGATGAGGCCACGGAGCTGCTGCAAGGGCTGGAGCCAGGCTGGGAGAGCTGGGGGTGCTCCCCTGGAGAGGAGAAGGCTCCAGGGAGAGCTCAGAGCCCCTGGCAGGGCCTGAAGGGGCTCCAGGAGAGCTGGAGAGGGACTGGGGACAAGGGATGGAGGGACAGGACACAGGGAATGGCTCCCAGTGCCAGAGGGCAGGGATGGATGGGATTTGGGAAGGAATTCTTCTCTGGTTGCCCAGAGCAGCTGTGGCTGTCCCTGGATCCCTGGAAGTGTCCCAGGCCAGCTTGGATGGACCTTGGAGCACCCTGGGACAGTGGAAGGTGTCCTTGCCCATGGCAGGGGGATGGAATGAGATGTTTTTTCAGATCCCTTCCAACCCAAACCAGGCTGGGATTCTGGGAGCCATCAGCTGAACGGCAGCTTCACTCTTCACCACTTTCCTCAGTTGATTTCCCAGAGGCAAAGGAAAGTTTAATAAAATAATCCCCCTTTGGGATCCTTTGAGGATTTCTGGGTGGAAAGCACTGGAAGTGCCCAGGGTACACAAAGAATTGTGTTGGGGGGATAAAGCAGTGAGCAGGGACATGAATTCTGAGCAATGTGTGAATCCTCAAAGCCAAGGCTCATCTCTGAGCTGGAAGGAGCAAAGTGCCACAAGAAAAACACAGTGAAGGTGGGAAAACCATCCAGAACTGACACTGTAGTGTTAAACTCTGCAAAGTTAGGTCACAGAAAATAAAATGGGATAAGGAAGAGTAACTTGAGTGTACTGCTGCAAACATTTCAAGGAAATTAATTTGATTTGATGAATAAAACCAACTTGGTATTTTGTAATCAGATCTAATCATGCCCCTCCTATGTCAGTTCTCACACCCAGGGGATGGTGATGAACCTGTAAAACTGCAATTCTACTGAGCAATGAATTAAATTTTCATGCACTGCTGGCCAGCACACCTGAATTTTACTCACTAATCCATTTCCCATAAGATGTCCACAGACATGCCAAGCATCTAATGCAATTAGAAAAATATCTGCTTTCAAGCTGCCAGAGAGATTTCCATGGCTTGCCACAGAAATTTGTGTTGGCTTCAGGTACACAACAGGCAGGGAAACCTGAGAGACAGTGGAGAGCCCTGATCAATGAATTCTGCATCACTGAGCAGGAAGGGAGGTACAGATTTTGGTTTGAAAATTGTGTTGCCAGTCTAAAGGACTTAAACCCACCTAATTTGATATTAAATATCCAGGTAAGACTGGGGTAAGGTGACCCTACCCCAGTCTAAACATGCTCAGGGCACCAAGGCTGCAAAAGGATTAACACTACTCCATATATAACACAGCAAACACAGGAAAAAGCTGCAATTCCTACAGAAATTAATCCTAAACCAGCCCCAGAGGGCTTTTCCAGTAAGTGTGAAACACAAGGGTGAAGCACTGTCCATCCTTTATGGGCTGCTTCATTTACTGAGGTTATTATCATTTATTCAAGGCTTATCATTATTTACAGGCCACTATAATTTATGATCCTAGTCCTGGTTTTTCTCCTCTGGTTAATGGGGTCACTCAAGAGCTGCACAGATGGGTCAGGGTGGGATGGGAGCACCCAGGATATGAAGAGCCCCCTGATGAAGTGAATAACTGGGGATCATTCTGGTGTCCCTGCACGGCAAGTGCACACAAATGCAACCAGACTGGCCATGTTTGCCATCCCATCTGTCCCCAGAAACAGCAGAAATGAAGTGACAAATACCCATGGATTTTGTCAGACATAAAAAGAACCTGAGCTCTATGGACTTCTAGATATGGAGAAATTAAGGAGAACAGCATTAAAACCCTTCACATTTCTCAGCTGTTGATACAGACCCATTTTAGACATCTTTGAATAAATGACATGGATTGTGCTTTTTGTTGTCTTTCTTCTCCTGTGTCCTTCAGGAGAAGTGAGACAGGATAAATCACTGCCACCACCTGGGACAGGAATTGCTTCAGCTGCTCCATGTGCTGGGCAATCCTGAGCTACCCACAAATCCTACATGGATACCTCTGTTCTGAGAAGGTAGGAAAGGCTATGAAAGTCAGGGGTTTGGGGAAAAAAAAACAAAAAAACCCCAAACATTTTCTACAATTATCTCCTCTCCTTTCAATTTTTTTTTCCTTTTGACACACCTACAAAGTGTTAACACCTTTTACAAAGGTTTTCCTTAGAGGGGAGCTTCCCTGACACTCCCAAATCCAGATTTTTTCAGCCTCTGTGCCCTGCTCTAGTGAATTTACACAAAAAGCAGTTTTCCTCACTCACCTCATCCCTGTAGAGAGGGCTGGTGTAGTACATGATGTCCATGGCACTGCTGTTGAGCATGTCCCTCAAACCCCGCACTTTATCCGGGGTTATGGAGTCCACAGTGTCTGGGGAAATAAAGAAAATGAATTAAATTACATCCAGGAGAATGATAAAACAGAATAATGGGGTCATTTGGGTTGGAAGGGGCCTTAAAGATCATTCATGGGCAGGGAGGGACACCTTCCTCTACCCCAGGCTGCTCCAAGCCCCAGTGTCCAACCGGGCCTTGGGCACTGCCAGGGATGGGAATGTTCAAAGCTGTGCAAACAAAACCAAAGGAAAAGCACAAGCAGAGAGCACAGATGAGATTTCTGGGGAGAATTCTGCAGCTGCTGGAGCAGCACAAGAACTGAGGCCTGTACCTCCATCGAGGGTCAGCTTTGATCTCCACTCCACTGGAAGGAATTCCACGTGCGTTGCAAGGTTGGAAAAATATTTTTCTTCCACTTTTCTTGCTGTATCTCGCATCCTACAACAAAGAAATGAATGTTTTCCTGTACAGACTACTCTTGGAATTCCCTCAATTTCAAGCTTTTTATTATGAAATGCTTAAATTCTCATAGAATGAAAAAAAATTCTGTGCACTGCATGCTCAAAAGAGTCTGAATGTATCACAGTATGGGCTTAAAATAATCCACATAAATTCAATTCAAAGGTTTCTGTTAATCCTGGTGGGTTTGGGGTTGAATAGGAAAGGTAAGGATTAGAAAATTAGAAAATAATTAGAAAATCAGAAAATAGAAAATTAAGAATTTCACCTCTGCTTTGAAATCCAGAATCCACTGAAATCAACCATTTGATCAGCACAGAAGGAAAACAATTCAGTGCTTTTCAACACAAAGAAAACTCTTAAAAATATGGCTTGAAAGAGCAGAGTTTTATTTTAATTTTACACAGTGAATTGGAAGGCTGGAGAGCTCCAAGGGTGAGGAACAGGATCACTTGTGAGTGTTTTAACTTGCAGGAGCAGATGGAGAGGCTTTTAACAGACTTTGCATTTTTACAGCATATCTGAACATGAACATTGCTGCACCTCTCCCAAGGGATGAGAAAAACTTAAAATACTTCAACCTCAAAGTATCTCTGACCCTCTCTGTTTGGGGGAAAATGGGAATAATGGTAAGTTATGTTATTTAAAAAATATTTATTTGTGTTGTGTGAAAAACCCATCATTGAAAAAGGAAAAGCAGCAAGAAATCAGACAAAATATTAACTATCCAGGCATTGTATAAAGAATGAGAACCTTTACCTTTGAACAGCTCATCTTTAAAACAATACCCCAAAATTAACATAACCCATAAACACAACTGCAAAAAAAGCTTGTGAAAAAGAGGAAAGATTTCACAATAACAGATTTCCCCAAGCAGCTGTGATGTGTAAAAATTAAGAACCACAAAAGAACTATTTTCTTGTAGAGAAATCTCCATGACATTCACAAGAGGGACTTCTCTCCCTAAGTAAACTAAAGAAAGATTATTTTAGAGGTAGTAAACTGAGTAAAATTTTAAGTTTTATTTCTTTACATTATCATTAACAAAGAAAAGGTTGTAGGAGAAATATCCTAAAGGTTTTGTTCCAATTCTATACTACTAATATTGTTAGTAATTTCTTCTTATTCTTATTACTCTTTAATTCCTAGTAATAAATATTTCTTTATAGTCTTCTGAAGTTTTAAACCTACTTTACTTCTCTCCTAGTCCTACCTCACAACAAGAAATAAATGAGTGCCTTCTATTAAGCACACTGATAATTAACCAACACTAAGCCCACCACACTCATTAGTACATTAACCAAAAAATCTCCAATTAACAAACCAAAACCACTACAGTCACTCAGCACCCAAAGCAAGGAAAATTTTATTTTCCTTTACCTGAATCCTACAGTATTCCTATTTTTGAAGATGAGCACAACAAACCAAATCCAAGCTCCCAGTTCCAAGCATCAAATTTTTGTTTATTTCAGTGTTTCAATGCGTTTTTTCCCCCCTATTTTCAAAGCACCCCCCTTTTAATTAATTCTACAACCAAAGGCACAATGACATTAACCTTCCACCTGGCCAAATGATTTTTAATGAGTTTAATCCCTGAGCTGAGGCACTTTCCATGGGTGCATTAATGCTCCTCTGTTCTTCAGGAAAAGTGAGACAGGTGAGGATAAATCACTGCCAACACCTGGGACAGGAATTGCTTCAGCTGCTCCTGTGCTGAGCAATCCTGAGCTATCCAAAAATCCCATATGGATAACTCTGCCCAAACCCTGTTCTGAGAAGGTAGGAAAGGGTATGAAAGTCAATGGTTTGGGGAAAAAAATTCTACAATTATCTCTTCTCCTTTCCCTTTTTTAAAATTTTTTATTTTTTTTCCCCCCCAGGAAAAGTTCATGCTGCTACTAAAAAAGCAGATTAATCATGTACCACATTTTTGAGAGAGGCAGTGAAAACACTTTTCCATCACTGGTATTTATTTTCTGATGAAAGAAAAGAAAACAAAGGAGCAATGGGGAGGAAAAAAAAGGGGGAAAGGAAATGAAATGGGAAAAGGGGGGAAAAAGGAGAAAGGAATAAAAGGGAGAAGAGGAAAAGGGAAAGAAAAGGGAGAGGAAAGGGAGAGGAAAGGGAAAGAAAAGGGAAAGAAAAAAGGGAAAGAAAAAAAGGGAAAGAAAAAAGGGAAAGAAAAAAAGGAAAGAAAAGGGAAAGAAAAGGGAAAGAAAAACAGGGAAAGAAAAAAGGGAAAGAAAGAAAAGGAAAGAAAAAAGGGAAAGAAAGAAAGGGAAAGAAAAAAGGGAAAGAAAAAAGGGAAAGAAAAAGGGAAAGAAAAAAAGGGAAAAAAAAGAGAAAGAAAAAAGGGAAAGAAGAAAAGGGAAAGAAGAAAAGGGAAAGAAGAAAAGGGAACGAAGAAAAGGGAAAGAAAAGGGGGAGCAAAGGGGGAAATAAAAAGGGGAAGAGAAAAGAAATAAAAAGGGAAAGAAGAAAAGGGAACGAAGAAAAGGGAAAGAAAAGGGGGAGCAAAGGGGGAAATAAAAAGGGGAAGAGAAAAGAAAGGGGGAAGAAAAGGGGGGAAGGAAAAAAGGGAAAGGGAAAAAAGCAGGGAAAGTAAAAAAGGGGGAAGGGAAAAAAAGCAGGAGAAGGAAAAAAGGGAAAGGAAAAAGGGAAGGGAGAGAAAAAAGGGGAAAGGGAGAAAAAAAAGGAGGAAGTGAGAAAAAAAGGGGGGGAAAGGGAGAAAAAAAGGGAGGAGGAAAAAAGAGGGAAAGGGAAGTAGCATCCTGTAGATCCTTTTTTTCCCAAAGCTGTCACTGCAGGCCTGTGCAAACAGCCAAGAAATGCAACTGCTCAGCATCTCTATTTTTAAAGCCTGGTGTGATTGCACTCCTGATCTCCTGTATTCTTGTCCAAAGAGATGGCAAAGGTTTAAATAAAGCAGAATATCCTTCCCATGATAAGGGAGAAAATAATTCAGCAGGAGGATGTGCTTAAATCAGGGCTGATTCGAGGCCTGAGCTGAGCCATCCTTGCCAGGCACAAAACCCTCCCTGCCACCCCCACACACAACAGGCCGTGTGAGAGTCCAAATTCAGCATGGAAATCCTTGATTATAGAGAAGATAAAATTCCAGTGAATAGATGAACATTCCTGGAGTCCCTGAGTGAGCAAAATAAAGGAGATTTTTGAAAATGCCCACAGCTCCTTGGTACTGCCAAGCCAGCTTCACTTTCTCTGCATGAAGGAGGTGGTTTTGGCTGGGATAAAGGTAATTTCTTTCCTGGTAGTTGGTACAGCACAATTTGGATTTAGGATGAGGATAATGTTGATATTTTGGTTGTTTTGGTTGTGCTCCCCCTAAATCAGGGATTTTTCAGTGTCTCATGCTCTGCCAACAAGGAGCTGCACAAGAAATTGGGGGGGATATGGCCAGACCCAGACTTATTTCTGGATGATATTATTATTATTATTATCATTATTATCATCATCATTATTATTATTATTATTAATATTACTATTAATAATATTATTAATATTATTATTACTATTACTATTATTCAGTTCTCATCTCAACCCATGGGTTTTACCTTTTCCCCGCTCTACTCCCCATCCCACTGCAGCTGCAGGCTGGGGTTAAAGCTTGACAACAAGAAAGAGGAATTCAGAAACAGTAAAATTTAGAAGAAAATTAGCTAAACAGCAAATTAAAGTTGCTCAGATTAAAAGCAGTAAAAGCATAGAAATATTGTCTGAACAAAGCACAAAATTTTACACCACAACAACTACTTGAGGTGAAGGAAATGGTAAATAACCTGTACCTAACAGCAGGAAAAACCATCCATTATTTATTATATAATTATTTATATCAATATAATATTTATGTCATTATTAATTTATATTATAATAATATTTATATAATTATAACTCATTATATAATTATTTATATAATAATATTCATTATATATTTATTATAGAATTATTTATATTATTATAATAGTTATTATATATTTATTATAGAATTATTTATTATTATCACTAGAAGCTGGAAATATTGTGGAGAAACAGCTATTGGACATCCCTAAACCTTTAAATCTTTAAATACAACAACTACAGAGCTTTCAGCTGTTTGAAAGGGTCCAGTTCTTACTAAAGCTGTTCACAAATTGACTCAGAGAGGTTTTAAAATAATAGCCAAAGCAAGAATCAGGAGTTTGGAGAGAATAATGTGGCCTTGCAATTCTGCCAAACCTTTCGGGAAAAGCTTCAGGTCTCCCCACCCAAAAACTGAGGCGGCTTTGTGTCCTCATCAAGGACTTTGGAAATGTAAAGGCTGATTTTACAGCTGTGGTCCAGCACAATAGTCCCAAATTTATAAAATCCCAGAAGGGTTTGATTTGGAAATGACTTTAAAAATTATCCAGTGTCACCCCTGCCATGGGACACCTCCCACTGTCCCAGGGTGCTCCAAGCCCTGTCCAGCCTGGCCTTGGGCACTGCCAGGGATCCAGGGGCAGCCACAGCTGCTCTGGCAATTCCAGCCCAGCCAGGAATTCCCAATTCCCAATCTCCCACCCATCCCTGCCCTCTGGCACTGGGAGCCATTCCCTGGCTCCTGTCCCTCCATGCCTTGTCCCCAGTCCCTCTGCAGCTCTCCTGGAGCCTTTTCTCCTGCTGGAATAATCCTGCCCCAACAGAACCACTCAGCTCCATGAGAACACCAAACTTCAAACTCTAAGGAAATGTTTTTGTTTTTTTTTTTCCTTAGACTCCTCATCCTGGTCCAAGTGCACACGAGCTCTGTTTCAAGCCATTTTTGTCACCTGTCTCCCCTGGGTGTCACAGGCTGTCAGAGCTGCACTTCCACCCTCTCATTATCTCCCAGCATTCATCTCCTGCTCCCAGCAGTCGCTGAAATTCCCAGTGCAACACAGCCAGTGGCACTGCACCGCATCCCCCACTGACTCTGATCAGCAGTTTGACAGAAACTCTGA